GTATACACATTGAAAGATCTCCATGGTAATATCTTGGGAGATTTTCATGTTAAAGACTTGAAACCTGATAATACGTTGAATGTTGATCATGGCAATGGTATTGATGTTTTGCGTAATGATGTAATGAGTGAGAGTTCTGATTCGGACAGCGATTAACTTTTGCTTTTGTGTATTATTATGCTTTATATACTCTCATATTCTAAAATTCAGATAAATTATTCTTGCTTAATCATTATCATTTGTAATAATACTCATATTTCCGCTCAATCGAAGGGGGCGAGTTTTTCGATCTGTACATTGGAGCGAGTAGGTTTTCCTATATTTATTTCCTAGTACAGATGCGAACGGAGAAGAATTTCCTTTGATAATGAATAAACTTATTTGCTGTAAGAGGCAGCTGATTGTTTACTTTGGACATTTGTCATCGTTGATCTTTCAACCTTTTGAAATATTACAATCAGTCCAATACAAATATTTCCGCTCAATCGAAGGGGGCGAGTTTTTCGATCTGTACATTGGGGCGAGTAGGTTTTCCTATATTTATTTCCTAGTACAGATGCGAACGGATAAGAATTTCCTTTGATAATTGCTAAGCTAATTTACTGTAAAAGGCAGTTGAATGTTTACTTTGGACATTTGTCATCGTTGTTCTTTCAACCTTTTGAACCATTACGTCAGTCCACCATTTACAGAATTTACAAGTCATAATTATTTTTCTGATTCGAATTTAATGTGTATACTTCATCTTTTGAATATTTCATTTTTCTGAGTGTACTCAAAATTTAAATTGCATTCCCGATCTAAATCATGTGACAAATACTGTGTATAATATTTTATAATGTTTTTATGCGTATATTTTCTGAATTTCCTTTACATACTTACGTACTTCTATTTTTGAAGTCTATTACTTTTGAAGTGTTTGATAGTATCCTCTTTTTGAATTCATTATAACTTTCTTCGAGAGCACAGACTTACATTGATTTTTGGTTCAAACTTTTGATGTTTGTTTACATATTTTTGAGTGGTTTTGAACTTTGACAGTATTTTGTAGTCTGGATAGTTACATAGATTCGTTGCGATGTATGCCTTGAGGGTCTTGTACTATCCACAGTTTCTTTAATTGAAAGTGTTTTCTTCATATGCATTTTATTTTCTTCTTGAGACTTGTCATATATGCTTTCCGCCTAGTTGCAAATCTGTGCGTATTGATAAACTCTTGAAACCTCTGGCGTATAAGTAAAACTCACTTTAGATATAGTTATTTATGTCTCAGTTCAATTCAATCAGTTCAATTTGATTTGAAGTAATTGTCAACTCCTTCTTGAGATTTTTCATATATGCTTTCAGCCTTTGTGCACATTTGTGCGTATTGCTAAGTCTTGAGCTTGGTTGCGACATTGCTTTCATGTTTCGCTATAGATTTTGAAATATCTGGTGATTTTGCTTTTGCATTATTGCATTTGTTTTGATAGTCTGCTCTCATAATCTTTTTTCCGGCTTCTTATTTCTTTCAATTTCTGTCTTGACTTGAAGTAATCGCCAATTCTTATAGATTCAGTATAGTAATTCTCTTTCCATACTTTACACTGGTAAATTATTATAGTTTTTCTAATTTTGTAATATTTCATATTTGAACTTAACTTTCATTTTACAATTTTATGGTTATTCTCAGTGTAGACTTTGAAGTGCGCTGATGATATCAGTGATCTACATGAAAATATTCCATAGACTATAGACATTCTTGTCTAGGGCTTTGGAATGCACCTATGGTGACCCTAGAAAGTTGTCTTTCTCTCATATTTTTGCTTTAAATCAAAATTCGAATTCTTACCTATCATATTTATTTCTATTTCTTGTTCACTAGATTTTTTTTATAACTCCAATTTTGCACCTACATATATCGTAGTCTTTTGCATACAATTTTTGCTTGCGGCATTACTCTCATGTATCATGATTTATTAAAATACCTTGTGATTTTCGTTTCGCTATTTTGCATTTTACATATGCTCACTTCGTTTCTCATTTATTACTCATGAAACTTTTAATATTTTGCTCACTTTTAAATTTTTTTGAGAACCCTTTATAAAATCATGCTCATATAGCTTTAATATTTCCTTTCACTTTATGATTTTAACACTATTAGATTTACAGTTGCACTTGTGTTGCACTTAGTTTTTTTTGGAAATTTATTTTGCTCTTTTCTATATTGTACTTCAATTTTTTTTTTTTGGTCTGGTTCTTATGTTGTCACATGACCCGAAAATTTTGATTGAACTTACTCTTGAATTCTAGTTCATTGATTGAACTTAAGCTATATTTTGACTTTGAAAATCTTACTTCAATATTTCATGAATGTCCCTTATATACTTTAATTCTCTGAAAATATTTTGAATTATTTTGTAGTCTTACAGACTGCTGGCGCCCGACAATTTTTTGTGGAATCAGAACTGCACTTAGTTAACATCTTTTTTGATTAAAATACCTTCGTGATCAAGTTTTCATTGGTTTAGTACTTGTAAATTGTTTTGTTATATAACTGGAATTCTTAATAGAATTTGTTAATTTCTTTTGATTTTCATATTTTGAAAATAGTAATGCACAGTTTTTTTATATTGGATATTGGTTTAAAATATCACTGTAGATGATATTCTTTTTGGGTTTGGAGTATTGCGAGATGATCTGGCAATTGTTTTGAGAAAGATTATTATTTTTTTAGTACGTCTTATGGTTTAGGTACTTACTTAGTTTTGAAGTTTTTAGTAGTCAGTCGTGCATTTTGGATGCCATTGTGATTCGTGCTTGGACTACTTCTGAAGCTATTGGTTTATTATTTTTCTCGTCTTAGGTATGACGATGTTTTATGTTTTGGGTTTTTCATCATATGATGATAGTTTTTTTTTAAGTGCAACTTCACTGTACTTTTCAGCGAGTTGGTGCTATAACCATCCCTCTTGTTTGGTAGACTTGAGGCTATCCCTTTTTCTTCCAATTCTCTTCTAACATTTTTGTTTCTACCTTACTTTTGCTACTTGTTATCTGGTCGAATGGTTGTACATTTGTCCTTCCGTGATAACTTTCAATTTCCTTGTTAAAAAAAAATTCTTGAATGCTTCTTCCAATTTTTTTTCTGGTTAAGTTGGGGCGAGTGTAACGGTTTCACCGTCCGATCGTATTTATTAAATCACTTCTCGATTATCATTTCATTAATCCCATCTCTAGCTTTTTTGCTTGGAAAATTTTCCGCTTGGAGCGCTTGATGCGGAGTTCCTGATCTGCGATCTTCCTCGCGCTTCCTTTTCACTTGAGCCGCCGATCGAACAACGGCTAGAAATTTCTTCTCAGTAGCACCAGGTTATATAGCACCATGTGCTAGAATTTTCTAGAGTGTGTGTCCGTATAGGACAAAAATGGTGAGTTTTATAATACTATACAGTTTTATTGCTGGATCTGCCTGTAGTTTATAGATAATCGATATGTAAGTGATTTATTTCTTGTACGATTTTAAAATATCCATCGAACGTCATTTTCGACTACTTCGATCATTCGCCATAACTTTAATCAAATCGAGGTGGAAATCGATCCACATCGATTTTACCTCTGTGCGCGTATATATATTCATAGTTCAGTGAAATTATAAGTACGTTGATTATGAATATTCGATGATTATGTTTTTATATCAGAAGCATGTGGAGAAATTTTTGATGACCACCATCTTGTTCTACACTTTTTTTTTTGCTATTTCATGATTTTATTTTATGAAAGGCATTTCCAATTTTCGGTTTGATTTTATCAAACTATATAATGTAATTCTAACCTAGAAAATCGTTGGTTCTCTTTTGAGGCAGACTGAGATTGGAAATGCCTTGGCCATTAGGGCACGTTGCTAATGCACATGGTTCTTTTTCAGATTGGGGCCACCCCCTTTCTCTTTCCCTTTCACTTTGCCTAGCCTTGGCCAATATTTTCACCCATGCATGTGCCTTGGCAGCGCCATCGCTTTTAACTTCGCCTACAACTGGTTATGAAGCCACCATATGGAGGTCACCCCTCATAACTGGGACCTCCCCTTCAAACCCCTGGCCATCCTGGCTTCAGTCGAGTAAAAATGGACCAGCGAAAGATAAGTCGATAGCGTTATAGCAGCGCCAAAGATGTAAAACTTATTTTGTTATTTTTGTAAAATTGTAATGTAATGACAATGCCTTTTTTTTGTTAAATAAAATCTGTTAAATTTTTGTGTTCTGTTTGTTCTTCTATCCTCTAGCCATGCCATGGTCGACACACAGCTACACGCCTGTAGATGTCTTCATGCCACCGACTGAGCTACCGGAAGCTAATTGTAACCCCCTTTCTGTGATTGTGCAGAAAAGTTGGAATCTTCATTGCATTCCATCTTTTCTGGACTTTTTGCGGAAAGGAAGCGTTACAAATGTATCACTATTCAAATGATTCTTAGTAGATAAATGTTTTCTTAGCTTTTTCCCTTATCAACAATGTGCATGTCCCATTTCAATTTCCTGTCTATGTGTATACCCAGAAATTTTCGATGTTCTATAAGTGATTCTGGATCTTTCAATGAAAATATCTGTCTTGTTTTCATTCGGGATCAGCTTATTTGCATCAAACCAGTTTTTGGCAGTCGACTGTGGGATTCACAGTCTTCTGAACCAGGAGATACCCGGTTTAATTGGAAAGCCTCATCCTTACAATTATTTACGCATCGACCACCGTCTATAGGCGCTGGCGTTGTTACCTCTAGGACTTAGAATTCGAATTTTAGGTGAAATTACGTACCAGGGAAGGCTGAAGGATAATGTTTTAAAAGAAAAATGAAGACTGTTTTTATTGCTTCTAAGGGATCCTATTTGGCAACATGGACTGTGACGAAAGAAATTGCACGTGAACGTCAAAATACACGATTGGGTTGGGCGACTCCTTGGAGAATATCTACATTATTCAATAATGATGCGCATCGATAATGGAACGGTTTTTTTATACAGCACATCCCAATATGAAACTTTTCGTCACTCACGGGGGCCTTCTCAGTAACTTTGAAACCATCTACCACGGAGTGCCTGTTTTAGCCCTTCCGATTTTTGCTGATCAAAAATTGAACGCCGCCAGGATACAGGAAGCAGGTTATGGAAAATACGTCCTGTTGAGAGAAATCACAGAGGAAAAATTGGATCAGGCACTGCAATCGTTGCTCAATGAACCTAAGTAAGTACATATAGTCAAAGATAATACAAAAGTGCAATTTGGATAATTCCTTAGCATGGGAACACATCAAATTTAGATAAAAATTTTGAAACAGTCCTTTTTCATAAATCAATATATATATATATATATATATATACAGGGTGGTGGTGCGGACGCAAAGTTGGGGTTTTCCTTTACACGACGTGTAGATCTTGAAAACATAAGCAATTTTTCTTAGTACCATATACACCAATGTCTTAAGGGAAGCGAGATAAAGGGCTCTGCAAGCACTAGAGACGTGGCTAGAGAAGTGCAAGTATCAAAAACTAAAGTGTGGCAAACGCTGCGTGAAGAGGGGCTGTATCCGTTTCACGTCCAATTTGTACAAGCCCTTCAACCTGACGATTTTCCAGCAAGAGTGCGGTTTTGTGAGTGGTTGTTGCATCAACATGACAATAATCCGGACTTTTTGAAGTGCATATTGGTGACAGACGAATCTACGTTCACGCGTAATGGGGTGAATAACTTTCGCAACACTCATGTTTGGTCAGTAGAAAATCCGCACGCTATCCGTCGGGCACATTTTCAACAAACATTTTCGGTGAATGTTTGGGCTGGCATGGTGAACGGTATGCTCTTGGACCATTTATTCTCCCAAATCGATTGGACGGGATGCAATATCTAGACTTATTACGCAACATTTTGCCTTCCTTGTTAAAAGATGTGCCATTAAGTGTAAGACAATCAATGTGGTTTCTGCGTCTGCTCGGTAGCGCATCAGTTGATTTCATTTTCTGTTAGAGCGGTATGATTTCGGGCAGAGGCGTACTTAGCCCTTCTCGTCAACTGGAGAGTGAGTACTTTTTCCTTTATTTTTTTTTACTTGGTTGCCCTCGTTTCACTACACATTACCTTTGTTATTTCAAGGGTAGTTGTTTCTGAAAAGGAAAACCCCAACTTTGCGGACACCCTGTATATATATACTGATAATTCGACACAAAGTGCACATAAAATGTCACAAATTTCACCTTATATAATATATGAACGTAAGTCAATAGTTTTCTAGATTTTTATTTTTTTGTGATTTTTTTCCAACCAATTTAAAATTGGACATTGAAGATGAAAAGAAAATAACTATTAACCTCAATCCCAAACCACCTTGGACGGCCATCAAATTTCTCCATTCAACAACCTAATGTCAAAAAGTAACTGTTAATAATATATCTGTAACAATTGTTTGAGAAATGCGAAAAAATTAAGCTATAGGAGCGCTCATTTAAATTTTATTTTCTCAAGTTTTCGGTCAACTATGCAACCATCATCAGGAGCTAGACATGATATTGAAGTAGCATCATTATTTTAACTGACAAAGCCAGAAACTACTTACTAAGTCGTTAAGGTCGTAGCTACATCTGGATATCTGGATACAAAGTCAAATATGAGACAAATCATATCACTATTAAACATTTTTACAATACATTTTTTTTTTCAAGTTAAAAGAGCCTAATGCTGCCGCATTATCCAAAATTGTTTTCTAACTAGTTGTTCGGCAATGACTACCCACAACTTATATCTCTATATATAAATCTGTTCAGTCTGTCAGCACCAAGTCTGAATCATAATACGGCAGACGTAAAAATTTCTACACTTACTGATTGATGCTCAATGAAGGTTATAGGAATAGTTTTATCCGCGAACTCATCATCGGTTTTGCAACCATATGTCGCGACACGTACTAAATTCACCAGCGTCAGGTACAAGCCGGCAACCGGCAACAATGCGGGCTGAAATCGCCCCACTCAACCTGTGACCGTCAAGCGATACAGGCGTTTCATTTTGCACTAGCTGTTACCGGGGACTTCGTACGTTTGAAACTGTTACTAACATAAAACATTGTTTTTAAGCAAGTATAAACGTCTGACCTTTGGTAGCATTCGTAAATTGACAGCCAACTTGCATGCTTACTTTAATAGTGGCACCATCTACATATTCTCCAAGTGGAACTACAAATATGTAAATAAATAACATATCCAGGTCAAGTGGTTGGTAGAACAAGTTTTTCTCCGAAAAATAACCGTAGACCTGGAAAAAAGAACAATGAAATGAAAGGCTGGACCAACTAAAAAAATGGCGTCAAGCAGGTTTACTCAGCGCTTCCTAAACAACGCCGTCATAAGTTCATAAAGGATTAAGTTCAGTGCAATTGAAATCCTCTGAGAAAAAAGTCAGTTACGAACACGTACAATAGAGAAATTATACGGATACTCAGTCAAACGTGTCCACCGGTAGCTACTGTCCATCTGGCAACGTCGTCCCTTTCCACATCTTCGCGACAGCGTTCAGCGCGGCATCACTGCAGCGGGCATTTCGTGCATGGTCCGGTTATATGTTTTTTGAGCTGCAGTTCGGATAGAAAGTCAGCCGGACGGGCTCGCCGGGCGATAAGCTAAGATAGCAGGAGTACGCGGATTGAAAACAGTTCTCTATCATGCTAGATTTTAATGGCAAATGTACGGGGAAATCTAGGATGTGTGCAATATGGCTAATAGGTATATGGAATTACCGGGGTTGGGAGCGTATTAATACAAATACTAATAGGTATAAAAAAAATCATATAGCTTCCCCACCCCCTACAACCCTCAGTTCCCGAACTTCAATCCCTATACAATTTTTTTATTTTTTAGTTTTTTGAAAATTGGTTAAAATTCTGCTCAAAGATTCCATTACATACATATACTAAGTGACATATAAATCCGAACACCCAGTTTAAATGGTTTTATTTTAATAAAAGTTGGTGAAGGTATTTATCTTACTCTAAGTAACAAGTGAAAAAATTTTCAGCCTTATCAGTTGGACATTCCGGTTTTTATACTGCTTTTTTTTAATTCACTAACGCTCTAAAAATGAATATTTCAGCCGCAGTAAAGAATCAACGTTGGCGGATTTTGGTTCTTGGCATCCTTTACGATCGGTTACGATGTCTAGAGTACGGAGACCTGTACGATTTCGTCAACTTAGTGAGTTTGATAGGGGCCGTATAGTGGGACTTCGGGAACCTGGACTTTCTTTTCGGGCAATTGCAGTTAGAGTGCAAAGAAGTGTAGACACTGTGGTTAGGTGTTGTCAGGCATGGCTTCGAGAAGCCGTACGCAAAGAGCAAGGGGCACTGGACGCCGCCGTAGAACAACAGACCGTGAAGATCGCCGCCTAAGATTATTGGCCTTAAGGGACCGTTTCTCCACTACCAGGCCCATTGCAAATGAATGGTTTGCAGAACACGGAAGACCTATTGGCATACGAAGTGATTACCGACGAATGAGAAGTTTTGGCTTGTTTTCATACCGGCCACACTGGGTCCTCCCTTTAACTCGAGAACACCGACGTAATCGCCTTGAGTGGTGCAGACAACGGTCACTCTGGGATCAGGAATGGAACAGTATTGTCTTTAGTGACGAGTCTCGATTTTGTTTAGGCATGCACGATGGTCGTGCCAGGGTTAGAAGGGGACGTGGTGAAAGGAGGAATCCACAGTTTTTTGTTGAAAGACATGTTCAGCACACTGTTGGAGTTATGGTTTGGAGTACTATAGCTTATGGTTCCAGGTCACCTTTAATCTTCATCAGAGGTAACATGAACGCGCAGCGTTATATCCACGAAGTTCTAGAACCCCATCTTTTACCCTATCTTGACACCCTGGCTGATCCAACTTTCCAACAAGATAATGCCCGACCACATGTTGCAAGAGTCATAATAGACTTCTTTCAACATAATGATGTCACATTGTTACCATGGCCACCAAGATCTCCCGACTTATCCCCAATTGAGCACGTGTGGGATATGATGGGTAGGAGATTGCTCAATTTGCAACGTCCTCCTCAGACTCTAGAAGCACTTCGAGAGGAGTTGGTGGTTGCCTGGAATGAGATACCACAGGAGGACATTGACCACCTGATCAGAAGCATGCCTAGGCGCGTTGGAGAATGCGTAGCACATCAGGGTGCATCCACCCATTATTAAAGGTCAAAGGGCTTTAAAGCAGTGCAATCATTTTGAAATTTTTATCATTTACTTATTATGCTTCATTAAGTACTTATACAAAATTTTATTAAAATAAAGCCATTTAAACTGGGTGTTCGGATTTATATGTCACTTAGTATATATACAGGCCAAGCAAATAAAAGCGTGTTAAAACAGTAAGCACGTGTACCTTTGAAACGTTCTTGCTTTCTACTGTTTTATATAACTTTATTTTTTTTCAGGTATAAACAGAATGCTGAAAGAAGATCCAGCATCTTCCACGACAGGCCGGTGAAACCAATGGACCTAGCAATTTACTGGATAGAATACGTGATCCGTCATAAAGGTGCAGAGCATTTAAGAGTCGCAGGTGCAAAGCTTCCTTGGTATCAGTATTATAGTTTGGACTCTATTACGCTTATATTACTAGTCATAATGTCTCCATATTTTTTACTCAAACTATTATTTATTACTCTGAAGAGAAGAATTGTTAAAATAAAAGAAGAATGATGAAACAAAACAGTTTTTTTGTGCTTTTTGGCTACCCCTCAGCGCGGTCTATACTTGGGTCTTTCGAACAAGGAACGAAAGCACAGCAACTGTCGATAAGCGCCATCTAACTCAGAACATAGTAGGTACTCTAAGTTATTGGACTGTTTTGCATAAAATGTTGAAAACAGACCCTTGGTGTGAAATCTAAGAAGGCAGGTGCGATAATTGGAATTCCACAGACAGATACTCTTAGTGAAGGCTTTTGAGCAAACGACAATAGTAAGACCTGCATACCAGCGGATGGAATTGCTAGAATTCAGACGAGGTCTTCCTCCAAACTTTGAGCTGGAAAATATCTGAATGCAAAATACCAAAAGGAGGCGATGATTTACGAACTTTGAGTAGTAACAGGGAAACAGTAGTGATGCAAAACACTTGTAACTTCTGAAAATACTGTGTTTTTAGGAGTAAGCTTTGATTGGAATTTAAAATGAACAGAGCAAATTGATTCCGCATGTAAAAAGCTTGTATAATATACAGGTTGACTTCGAAGTTGAGTCATTTATTTAAACAGTGAGTAGATCTGATCAAAAGAAATGTTTTTTTCCTTTAACATTTTTCTGGTAAAATTAAAGTAACAAAGTTATAGCCCTTTAGAAGTTTGAGTACCGCCCTGTCTCAATAATAATATTATGTGCTCGTGTTTGGCAACAACGGATATAATCGGTTCATCGTATCGGAAACAAAAAAGCGAAAGAATTTGAAACGCTCATCACGATGTTTTTACTACAATTTTATTCGGTTGTATTCAGTCAATGTGTCAGTCGGTAACGTGTGAGTGAATAGTGGTGTTTGTTGCGCGGCTCAAACGAAATAAAAAATGGCACATGTTTACGAAAATGCTGAACTTGTGGACATGATTCTTATTTACGGGGGGGAGTCTTTACAAAATGCTCGCGGCATCACGGATTTATGCGGATCGGTTTCCCAATCGAGTGCAACCAACCCCTCGTGCCTTTGTTAATGTAGTACAAAGGGCTCGTGAATCAGGTGGCTTAAGACCTCACAGGGGAGGGCATGCCGGTGCTCCAAGACCGCACGATCAAATACAGGTCCGCACTGAAATACTTGTCGGGAGAGGATACTTTATAAAACAAGGTAACATTTTTTTTTATTTTTATACATATATTTTGGTTTATCTTCCTTCTACAATCATTATCTGAAAATTAATGACTCAAATTCAAAGTCACCCTGTATATATATATATATATATATATGTATATATATATATATGAGCGGTAGTCATTGCCAAAGCCAACCACTAGTTTGGTACAAAATACAATTAATTGTTAATTGGGAAAATTGGCAAAACTCTTAGGCTCAAGTTGACTCTTTTGACGATAAAATCAAGCTTTCGGCATTCTCTATGGAGCCTTCATCAGGATTCTGAAATTGGTTTCCCAATTAACAATTAATTGTATTTTGAACCCTGTATATATATATATACAGGGTGACTTCGAAGTTGAGTCATTTATTTTAACAGTGAGTAGATCTGATCAAAAGAAATGTTTTTTCCTTTAACATTTTTCTGGTAAAATTAAAGTAACAAAGTTATAGCCCTTTGGAAGTTTGAGTACTGCCCTGTCTCAATAATATTATGTGCTCGTGTTTGGCGACAACGGATATAATCCGCCGTATCGGTTCATCGCATCGGAAACAAAAAAGCGAAAGAATTTGGAACGATGTTTTTTCAATTATTTTATTCATTTGTATACAGTCAGTGTCAGTGAATAGTGGTGTCTGTTGCGTGACTCAAACGAAATAAAAAATGGCACATGTTTATGCGGATCGGTTTCCTAATCGAGTGCAACCAACCCCTCGTGCCTTTGTTAATGTAGTACAACGGGCTCGTGAATCAGGTGACGGCATGCCGGTGCTCCAAGACCTCACGATCAAATACAGGTCCGCACTGAAATACTTGTCGGGAGGATACTTTATAAAACAAGGTAAACAATTTTTTATAATTTTTTTTTATTTTAACACACATATTTTGGTTTATCTTCCTTCTACAATCATTATCTGAAAATTAATGACTCAACTTCAAAGTTATATATTTATAAAAGTTTAACATATATTTTTCGGCACAGAAATGATTATCTTATGAATACTGACCGCGTAATAAAAATAATATAGTAAGGCCTGTGTGTTATAAATTTTATTCAAAATCTCTCATAACAGTAATGATATACTCGTACTGTTTGACTTATTACCTCCAGAGATTAAAAACGTCCGCTCCATAGGGATTTTCAAAAGATGTTTGCCTAACAAGCTGTCGGATTGCGCGTTTTATGTCTCGGATGAATTTGTCACATTCCACAATGCTTCTGATAGATCTTAATAAATAATTTATGGCCATGTGTGTACGTATCATATTGTTTTTTATGTTCCTATTGCTGTTTGTATTATACTTCATTTTATTTATATTTTAATCTGTAAACATCGACTTATCCAATGTCTACAATGTAGATTTAACTGTATCAATAAAAAATAAATGTATGGTTGACATAGTATATATATAGCATTATATATTTGTATAATAACGAATAATACGATAACATTTAAATGTTCAGTCTTTCTCACTCACTTTTGTACACATCGAATGAAATCTCCTGTACGCCAATGGTAGGTGCATTATCAAACCAGTTTTCACGTTCGTGCAACCGGCAGCAACCTTGACACTGCACTGCCGAAAACAACATTTCCGTCAGATTAGTGTAGTAGCAGAGGCATCCGAATTAGGTTAAATGACTCCAAAATTAAAAACCTGATTTTAAAATACTGTGTCGCAAGAAAAATTCTCTCATAGGGAGGTGTATAGATGCATGACTAAAATTCGAAGCTAAGAGCTATAAAAGAACGATTTGTGGTCATACAATAAATGGCGATAACTAGGTTTGACTCTATCAGTTCATAGAGGACTATGATCAGTACATAAAGAATTATGATCAGTACAAGCTAGACCATCTAAGAAAAAAGTCAGTCAAACATGTCCATACAATTAGTCCATAGACATTTTTCCCTGTCCTACCGGAAGTGCATGTGGCAATGTCGCCTTAACCCGGTCAGAAGTGACAGCGCGGTCAAAGCTCAGAGCATAGCGTGTAATACCAAACACCATACCGGAACAACAAAACTCACAAAGGCCGACGTCAGGTCACGTCGCTGGTAGCAGCAGAAGCAGCCGGTAGGTCTGCGATCCGGAGGATTATTACGTAAAAAACTTATATGTCATAAAAAAACACGTTTTTGGGATCAACTAGTGGTTCATGAGCAATGTTTTTGAGCCAGAGTTAATACCTGACCTAGTGGCCACTCCTGTGCATAATGACGATCTCGCGCACGTCTGTCCCATTCTCAAAGAAAACAACAATATTTGGTATATCCCAGTTGCATTCCAAGAAGAAGGGCTACTACCTTTAAATATGAACTTGTGGCCCATCCATATTCATTATAACAGATATGCTCTAACAAAACTCGCAAAGGATTCCTTCATATTAACTGCATGCGCTATAGGTACAGATGGATATTTTTTACCATGGTGTACCACCAATACCGCTTTTAAACTAAGCTTAGAGGAATCAATGAACAGGCGCCAATCATTTGGATCATGTTTCTGTCGTAACGCGTCAAACAAATTGTTGAGCAATATATCAACTCCCTTTCTTGAGGGAAACAGTGTGTGAGGCCTTGTTACTGTTTTCGGTAAAAAGTAATGTTAACATCACCGTGGAGAAGATTCCATCCTTTTAATCTTGACGCTAAAAGTTCTGTCTGGGATTTTGACAGATTTAATTCTCGAACTAAGTCATTAAGTTCGCCCTGTGTGTTCAAAGGCGGCGCTGTTGAACATCCTGGCAGGTAAAACCAAGGAAATTTCATCGCTTACTGTACCATCACTTTCAGAATCGGTGGATTCGACTTTTTCGTCCAAAGATCAAGATTCTGGTGGAACTGGGACAGAAAGTTCATCACTATGCTTAACGGGCCGCAAAGCTGATGGTAAATTAAAATACTTAACAGTATGTTTCGATTTTGATCCAATACCTTTAATATTTGAGAGGCAAAAATAGCAATCAGTAGTACGGTCTTTCGGTTCTCTCCAAACCGTTGATACTGCAAAGGGCATTTTACGATTGTCGCCTCTTAACCAACCTGTTAACAACGTTACACAAGTCTTACAACATATATGAGGGGCCCATCGTTTATCTTGGTCGCCAACTTTAATACCAAAATAAAGTTCGTATGCTTTCAACACAAGAAGAGTAAAAGTACGTTTTTGGGATTTAAAAGTTAGCTCTCTCCGCACACGTAACCAAAACTGTTCGCACTATTTACACAATTTCTAGGCATTGTCCTTGTGCTAGTCTCGGTCACAATTAACTAAAACCAACACACCGTTTTAACAAAAATTGACAGCACTCAAAAAATCTCAGTACTCTTCAACATAGGAAACGTAACTGACTCGGCTGCTATTAGTCTACTAATAAACGCAATATGCTCTCTAAGCATAGAGCTCGCATATAATAAACAGGAATAGACAGGTCTTAACGTTATATATGTGCGTCATCGCATAAACGCCGAGAAATGCAGCAATATGAGATGTTACGTATTGTAATACATAAAAGTACATGTTACCGAATATCTGTGATCGGTGATAGAAAAATTCTGTCTTTCGATTTGATTTAAGCTTCTCAAAATACATACGATACATCCAAAAATTGTCATGTCACAAATCCTGTGTTATCGGATACTAGCGATAGATAGTCGAAAACTGAACATCGAACAAAGAGCCAATATTAAGTTATGTGTTAAACTTCAAGAGGCCAGAAACGACAAAAGCTTTATATACAACATTGTGATTGGTCACGAAACCTGGTGTTTGCAATACGATTCTGACACCAAGCGTCAAAGTGCCGAATGGAAGCACCCAAGCGATCAAAATCCGAAAAAAGCCGTTTGGAAAAGTCCAAAGCGAAGACAATGTTGATTTGTTTCGTTCTCGAGTTGGTCGGATACACATGCTAGCTTTGGATATGCCAGTCAGTGTCCTCGAAAGGTTCCCGGTTCTCTATTTTGTGTTGAACCGCCCAAAAACGAATGCATCTCTTTAAAACAAGGAATTGTAGGTTTGTAAAGATCTGACGCACTTGCAATCTGAGCGCGTAGATTCCTTTATCTTCTTTAACTCTTGGTGATGAGTTGTTGTTAGGTTTTTTATTTTATTTTTGATACATTTCAATGTTATCATCATTCATATGCTCCAATAAAGATGTCTTTTAAGTTTTGCATATGGAAATAAAACAACACGGTAGGTAATTTTAAATGACTTTATTGTTTTTCGAAGTATTCTCCACGAAAATTAATACACATCTGCGTGCGCTCGAACCAATTTTCGAAGCACTTATTCCACTCGTTTACTGGCAGATCCAAAACGGCATTTTTGAATGCGTCAACTGATTCTACTGGTGACTGGAACCTTTGACCACGCAGACTGTTTTTAATTTTCGGGACTATATGGAGGATGACTTTTGTTGGCTTTTCTTCACCTTGGAACACCCAAACAGCAGACTGTCGTTTATTTTCTACGTCAAGCGTTTTTTGACACCAATTAATCCTGGCTGCTTTCTGCTCTTCAGTCAACAGGTGGGGTATCCAACGAGAAACTAATTTTCTTACTCCTAATTCTACATGTAAATTTTTTTGAATTGAGGTCTTTGAGATCTTCAAAGACGCATCAATCTCGCGATGTGTCACATGTCTATCTTCAATGATGAGTTTGCGCACAGCATCGACGTTTTGCTGGGTGACTGCCGTTTTTGGTGCACCCACCCTGGGATCGTCGCAAGACTCAACCGTCCACGTTTGAATTCTCCATACCAACGGGAAATTGTTGACTGATGTGTTGCTTCGTTGCCGAAAACAGACAGTAACTCAGCAAGGCATTATTGTTGCGATAATTGTCTCTGAAAGTTGTAATAAATTATGGCACGATAATGTTCTCGGTTGAGTTCCATTTTTCTAATGACTTGGTGATACTTAAAAATTCACTGTACTGTTCTTAAAATTTTAATCTAAGTTTACTAAATAGTGAGGTTACGATTCAGTATTGACGTTCGATCCGCGCGCCTACTGTTTCTATATGGAACAATTAAAAGACATCCCTCGTATAAGCGTTGTCTCCAGCGGTTTTATTTTTAAACAGTGTAGATCATGTATCCCACAAACATTGATACTCCCTTCACTGCATAATAAACAAGTCTTTTCGTCGTCCCCACTGATTGGCATTCTCGCCAACACGTTAAGTACAACACCGTTGTAATTTGCGATGCCAATCAGTACCGGTTACTTTGGGTTAAAGTAATCGGTAAACGTGATTACCGATAAGTAACCGTATTTGACATCACTACTAATAGCTATTGCTGCACTATTTTTGCTTTCCTGCGCGGCCTCGCGCATCCAATCATTTTCAGTCCTCGCGTGCACCAGCTACCGACGAAGCGTTATCAGTAATACCGAGAACATCCTAGGAGCGCCATGATCCGAGTTATTTTCATATCCGCTGTGATTGTGAACCTTTCATGCCTAGCGCAATGTTACAAAATCCTCACCGTCTTCCCCATGGCTGCTCCCAGTCACTATATCCTGGGGGAGGCCATCGCCAGAGGGCTGGCCGAAGCCGGGCATGACGTCACTATGGTCAGCCCGTTTGAGATGAAGAATCCGCCGAAGAACGGAAAATTTAGGGACATTCTGCTGACTGGGTTTATCGAAGAACATAAGAGTAAGTATGAGTATCTACAAATTGAATAGGTTTTAAAACTTCTGATGTTGTTCTTGACCTGTCCCCGTCTGGAGGAGTATTCTTGATAGTTTTCGACTGATCGTTTCATGGTGTGTATAGAGATGACTAAAAACAATGCTATCAGTTTCTTTTTTATAAGAAAATGCATTTTTTATTCAATCGTAACTTGTTAACAAATAATGCAGCTCGAAAATTGTATATAAATTTCGGCTCTAGTCGGATTGTATTGTTTTTTTTACCAGTAGAAATATTTAAAATACTGTTGAAACTTTGTGGGGCCTTGAGAAACGTTTGAGGTATGGATATGGAAGGTTTTTTAAAATATGCGTTTTTAACCACCTATCCAGATCAACTTGTAAACATAAATTATATTGAAAAATAACGTAGTTATTGTAAATGTTTATAACTATAAAAATGTATACTTTTTTAACACCATTTTTAACAAAAATTTTGAAAGAAATAATTAATTTTTTGCATAAGTTCTGGTAGTTGAAACCTTCAAGAATCCATTTCACTTTTGTAAAATATGTTCTAGGATCATATCCTGGGCAAGAACAGTTGTTTAAATAATTCGTCTCTGGGATAAACAATTAGCTTTCTACATAAACTATTAAACCGATCCAGCTGAAGTTTAGCACACTTATTAACACCAACAGTGCCCCCATTCTCGCAAATTTTCAGCCATTTACAATTGTTATTGCAATAGTTATAAAATTTTATTCAATTGTTTATCGATTTTAATTCTTAAAAAAGAAAACTGAAGGTATTTTTATGCTCTAAATACTCTAGTTTACCGATTATTAATAACATTTAATTTGAGAATTATACAAGCAAAATACTGAATTTTGGGCTTTTCCAATTGTTTAAAAAAAACAACGCATATTTGGCTGTATCTTTTTATGTGTTTGTCATTAGAAAGACCCCTCTTCTATTTAAAACTTTCAGATATCTACTAAACTTTTTTTCAGTTTTTTTTATCTAGCCTGGACTAATGACACTAAATACCGATTTCGTCTTTTCAGTCCCATTCTGTTTTTGAGCTTTAAACCGTAAAGGTGTGTCGTTATTTGTTTCCAAATTTGTCAAAAATGTACTCTCGAGAAGAAAAGTTTCAAATGGTAGTACATCAGCACGCCCAGTTGACTTATTTACGGTATACTTCCGAGACCGGCCAAAACTGACGATCTTTACAATATCTTTTGAAATCCGCATTTCACGACTGAAACATATATACTAAGTGACATATAAATCCGAACATCCAGTTTAAATGGTTTTATTTTAATAAAATTTTGTATAAGTACTTAATGAAGCATAATAAGTAAATGATAAAAATTTCAAAATGATTGCACTGCTTTAAAGCCCTTTGACCTTTAATAATGTGTGGATGCACCCTGATGTGCTACGCATTCTTCAACGCGCCTAGGCATGCTTCTGATCAGGTGGTCAATGTCCTCCTGTGGTATCTCATCCCAGGCAACCACCAACTCCTCTCGAAGTGCTTCTAGAGTCTGAGGAGGACGTTGCAAATTGAGCAATCTCCTACCCATCATATCCCACACGTGCTCAATTGGGGATAAGTCTTGAGATCTTGGTGGCCATGGTAACAATGTGACATCATTATGTTGAAAGAAGTCTATTGTGACTCTTGCCACATGTGGTCGGCCATTATCTTGTTCGAAAGTTGGATCTGCCAGGGTGTCAAGATAGGGTAAAAGATGGGATTCTAGAACTTCGTGGATATAACGCTGCGCGTTCATGTTACCTCTGATGAAGATTAAAGGTGACCTGGAACCATAAGCTATAGCAGCCCAAACCATTATTCCAACAGTGTGATGAACATGTCTTTCAACAAAAAACTGTGGATTCCTCCTTTCACCACGTCACCTTCTAACCCTTACACCGACGTAATCGCCTTGAGTGGTGCAGACAACGGTCACTCTGGGATCAGGAATGGAACAGTATTGTCTTTAGTGACGATTCTCGATTTTGTTTAGGAATGCACGATGGTCGTGCCAGGGTTAGAAGGCGACGTGGTGAAAGGAGGAATCCACAGTTTTTTGTTGAAGGACATGTTCATCACACTGTTGGAGTTATGGTTTGGGGTGCTATAGCTTATGGTTCCAGGTCACCTTTAATCTTCATCTTCTAGAACCCCATCTTTTACCCTATCTTGACACCCTGGCAGATCCAACTTTCCAACAAGATAATGCACGACCATATGTTGCAAGAGTCACAATAGACTTCTTTCAACATAATGATGTCACATTGTTACCATGGCCACCAAGATCTCCCGACTTATCCCCAATTGAGCACGTGTGGGATATGATGGGTAGGAGATTGCTCAATTTGCAACGTCCTCCTCAGACTCTAGAAGCACTTCGAGAGGAGTTGGTGGTTGTCTGGGATGAGATACCACAGGAGGACATTGACCACCTGATCAGAAGCATGCCTAGGCGCGTTGAAGAATGCGTAGCACATCAGGGTGCATCCACACATTATTAAAGGTCAAAGGGCTTTAAAGCAGTGCAATCATTTTGAAATTTTTATCATTTACTTATTATGCTTCATTAAGTACTTATACAAAATTTTATTAAAATAAAACCACTTAAACTGGGTGTTCGGATTTATATGTCACTTAGTATATGTCCAACGTTTAATTATAACTTTCAATGTGAGGAATTATCAATAATTATTATTTACATTTCTCACAATGAGATAATTTGGATGGTGACTCAGTGGTTTTAGTGCACTCTGGGTTTTAGGATATTATCAAATAATACTTAGCTGATAGTACTGGGGTTTTAGTGTTGTTTTATGACAAAAATACATGAAAAAGTAAAGATCGACGATGCTACCGGTAGAGCAGGGAGATAATGCCTATGGACTAACTGTATGCGCCTTTTTGACTGACTCGATCCGTTTAACTTTTCTCTTATACATGTTCGTAACTATATAACCTTGCTCTCATATGGTAAGGTGTAACTGATGACAGCGTTGCGCGGTCAGAAGACGAGTTACCTTGCACGCCCCCCACCACTTCCACTTTGGCCACGCCCATCGCGGGCTCTAATGGGCGGATCAGACGGCGGGAAATTTGAACGGGGTTGATGGTATATGTTGATTGGCGGGCCCCGCTAGATGACGCACCCGACTGGAATTGATTCAGACAGCCGACGATAGTAAGGTGTAGTATACAGGGGGGAGATAAGAATGTTTTATATAGGGTGAGTCAAAAGGTAGGCTCTCGCGCGTGTGCGCGCGTGCGCATGCACATGTGCATGGGGCTCGTTCTGTTTGGTGCTGGTGCGGGTGTAGATAGCGTTTGTGGCGTTCGTGGTAGGTGTTGGGGTAGGTGATGCGCGGGTAAGTTTGCGTTGTGTACTTTGGGATAGGGATATTTTTCAACAGAATAGATAGGAAAACACGTCTATGCGTAAGTGATGTGGCTCATTTCATGTTTTGCGGTTTTCAAGATATTTGCATAAAAAGATGTATCCGTACGGAGTCGCAGAGTAAAAAGCAGCTTTTACAAAAATAAATCTCTTCGTGATTGTAAAACTAAAATATAAAGCAAAGCACAAAAAACAGATGTTATAATATGAATTTGAATAGAAATAACAACGGTTCTTGCTTACAGATCACACCGTGATGAACTTATTCCAAATGGAACATATGAACATGATCACGCACAATCTGGCACTGAACTTTTTGGGAAGCACAAGTACGAGAAAAACCCTGGATCATCCCAATTTACAAAAATTAATAAATTCCGGTGAGAAATTTGACGCCGTGATCATAGAGCAATTTCTTAACGAAGGACTCAAACCACTTGCCGAACATTTTAACGCGCATTTGATCCTTTTCAGCACGATTGGGCCAAATATATGGGTATGTATTTATATCAAAATCGGACACTTATATACAGTGGTATTCAAAAAGGTCCCTACCCTTAGAACTTAGAAAGCTGAATTTCGGGCGGTTGAAAATTTCAAGATGGCGGCTCGCCGGACGTTTTAGATTTTTTATTTGAACGAAATGAGTAGCCGTGTGGAACCTTATTTTCAGGCTGCTTAATATTCTATACTAAGTGACATATAAATCCGAACACCCAGTTTAAATGGTTTTATTTTAATAAAATTTTGTATAAGTACTTAATGAAGCATAATAAGTAAATGATAAAAATTTCAAAATGATTGCACTGCTTTAAAGCCCTTTGACCTTTAATAATGTGTGGATGCACCCTGATGTGCTACGCATTCTCCAACGCGCCTAGGCATGCTTCTGATCAGGTGGTCAATGTCCTCCTGTGGTATCTCATTCCAGGCAACCACCAACTCCTCTCGAAGTGCTTCTAGAGTCTGAGGAGGACGTTGCAAATTGAGCAATCTCCTACCCATCATATCCCACACGTGCTTAATTGGGGATAAGTCGGGAGATCTTGGTGGCCATGGTAACAATGTGACATCATTATGTTGAAAGAAGTCTATTGTGACTCTTGCAACATGTGGTCGGGCATTATCTTGTTGGAAAGTTGGATCTGCCAGGGTGTCAAGATAGGGTAAAAGATGGGGTTCTAGAACTTCGTGGATATAACGCTGCGTGTTCATGTTACCTCTGATGAAGATTAAAGGTGACCTGAAACCATAAGCTATAGCACCCCAAACCATAACTCCAACAGTGTGATGAACATGTTTTTCAACAAAAAACTGTGGAACCTCCTTTCACCACGTAGCCTTCTAACCCTGGCACGACCATCGTGCATGCCTAAACAAAATCGAGACTCGTCACTAAAAACAATACTGTTCCATTCCTGATCCCAGAGTGACCGTTGTCTGCACCACTCAAGGCGATTACGTCGGTGTTCTCGAGTTAAAGGGAGGACCCAGTGTGGCCGGTATGAAAACAAGCCAAAACTTCTCATTCGTCGGTAAACACTTCGCATGCCAATAAGTCTTCCGTGATCTGCAAACCATTCATTTGCAATGGACCTGGTAGTGGAGAAACGGTCCCTTAAGGCCAATAATCTTAGGCGGCGATGTTCACGGTCTGTTGTTCTACGGCGGCGTCCAGTGCCCCTTGCTCTTTGCGTACGGCCTTCTCGAAGCCATGCCTGACAACACCTAACCACAGTGTCTACACTTCTTTGCACTCTAACTGCAATTGCCCGAAAAGAAAGTCCAGCTTCCCCAAGTCCCACTATACGGCCCCTATCAAACTCACTAAGTTGACGAAATCGTACAGATCTCCGTACTCTAGGCATCGTAACCGATCGTAAGGGATGTCAAGAACCAAAATCCGCCAACGATGATTCTTTACTGCGGCTGAAATATTCATTTTTAGAGCGTTAGTGAATTAAAAAAAAAAGCAGTATAAAAACCGGAATGTCCAACTGATAAGGCTGAAAATTTTTTCACTTGTTATTTACAGTAAGATAAATACATTCACCAACTTTTATTAAAATAAAACCATTTAAACTGGGTGTTCGGATTTATATGTCACTTAGTATATAATAAGAAATCACTGTCCTTCAAAATGACGAACTAGCAAGCTGTTAAAGTGAGCGTTTTTTGTATATTGGATCGCTTAGAACTCAACAACCAATCATCAAAACGCTACAGTATGTTATATCAATTTTATTCTGTTAGAAGGGTCCATCCAAATAATACGTAATAAAATAACGTGGAACATTGTATCAAAAAATGTCAAAAATATAAGTTATTTTTTTAAAACAGAATGTCTCATTCTTAGTCAGATAGACCCTTTAATTACATGTTGAATTATGAACGGTTCAGTGTAAAAAACTCATCTTTGATGGACTGCCAGCCCGCATTTTTCAAGAAAATGGTACTATACGGTTATGAAGTACTGATGTAGAGCTGCAAAATGATGTATCTACCTATTATTCCATTTAAAAACATGTTACGTTCTTACGCGTCAATTTCATCATCCCTAATTTCAGCTCTCTAACTTGATCCGTTCAAAAAATAAGTACTGCAAATGTCTGTTACAAACAAAACAAGAATAAAGAATGCATGACAAAACTTCGTTTTCACGATAAGAAAGACCAGCAGCTGTTACAGGAATCATACGTCTAAATCATATTAAGTTCGCCATTTTGACTGTTCAGAAATTCGATATCCAATTTTTCATTTATAGAAATCAGAATCTGTAGACCTCAACCGCATAAAAATATTTGCTAGGGGGATGAACTTTTTCGACTTCATTAAAATTATCATATGGCTCACCTGAATAAATACGATATGAATATGATTACATGGCGTACTTATTTGACAAAGTCATGCAGTTATCAATAATGGAACTATTTAGCACATACTACATAGTAACTAGTTTAAGATAATTTGAATGATAATTGTGTCTCCAGTTTGCGTGCTAAATATAAACAGTTCAGCGCGTTTCAGAATGAAATGTTTTTTTTATAAACTTTAATATGTATACGCAAGAGTATGACGAAATGTTGAAAAACATTTTTTTTCTTCACAGCGAAAGGTGAGAGACACATCAGCATCATTTTACAATGTGTATACCGTATGTTTTCTCTAATATCGTAGCGAATCTATTACTTACAAATACGAAATGTTTGAATTTGTTTAGAAGAAAAAACGTAACCCTTCGTTTTTCGCATAAAAATAACAATTATCTTTCGGATTGGCTGGTGATTCATATCGGCAAGGTAAATTCGTGTATTTGGCTATAAAATGCCCTTTGAACGAACTCTCAATATTGCTCAATTAACGGGTGTTTTGGGATAAACAATTAGAAATTCAATTCTCAAAAACTACTTGGACAATCGACTCCAATTTTGTTGTGGTTATTTAGAAGTAAGAAACCTTCGGATTTGAAGAATTTCAAGAAGCTGCGTAAAATTATCGTCGCATTAGCAACAAGTGCCAAAACCTGCGTTTTGCATCGCTTTTCGGCCATAACTTTTTAAATATTAGTGGGAGCTTTTTACGTGCAGTCTCATTCTGAAAGGCTCAAGAATACATCAAAATCTTATTTAAAGAGTTTTTTCGTTCCTGAGAACTCTTTCGATTGAATCCCAAAAAACACGTTTTCACACTCTTTGTTGTCGAATAAAAATTTTTCCCACAAACATTGGTGTACCCATTTTATACGTCCATGTTTTAAGTAGCCCATTGAACAATTTGCATCAATAAGACTTTACAATTATTTCTCAAACCAGAGGTACTTTCGTCTAATATGATTTGACTAGAATCTCTTTAGTATTGTTTAAATTTCCGGCAATTAAACTTAAACGTCCTCATTGTAAATGGTCTTGATTTTTCTTTAAGTAATGCGTTTGCACGTACAAGCGGTTTAACGTAAGGCCTTAATATAAACCGCATGTTCAAAATCTAGCGTCATACGTTTCATGCTTTCTAAATCAGGCTGTTTTTTCTATACTCCAACTACCACGAAGGCCCAAGGCCTAAGCACCCATTGGGTACCGTGGGGCTATAGGGGGATAAATGGGAAAGGGGGAACGCCACGAGGGAACACGTGTGCATGCAACATGCACACATTCTGGCTCCGCCTACGAGATCCGCCGGGTGGTACCTCCGCGTTCGACAGTCAGAGACGGTCTACCACCTACGGACAATCACAACATCCATAGCCAAGAGAAGAATTTCTCCTGGGACGGGACTCGAACCCGCACAGCGCACGGCGACTGATCAGGAGACCGAAGAGTCTACTACTGAGGCCACCGCTGCTGCCTTTTTTATTTTGTGATTCTCACTTGGCGTGCGAGAAGTACCGATTTTCATGAGCAATTATCTTCAAATATTGGATTATTAAAAGAACGTGTAGATAGGAGTATCTTGAAATAACTTCTTAAGCCGTCTCAAGTTTTTACAAAGTTTATCGTTTTAGCTGCTGTTTATACGTAAACGAAAACAGTTTACGTTAAAGCATTTCAAGAAGAACATGTAAATCAAGAGAATATTTGTATATGTAAATTGATAATTTTACTGTTTTTAAAAGGGGTAGAAGAATAGCCTATGGCTAAACTGCGCCCTAATATCTATCTATTATTACCACTATTATTAATATTAATAGGTGGATGGCTTTGTTGGAAACCCTTCTCCACCATCTTACATCCCTGACTGGACCGTAGCCTATCCCATCCCAATGAACCTGTACCAAAGAGCCTGGAATCTCATAATAAAAACAGTATCATATGCAAATCTGCATTTGTTGTTCTACCCGGACCAAAAAAGGATTGCCGAAGAGTTCCTACCAAAGGGATTGAACTTTAATAACGCATTGTACAATGTGTCACTGGTGCTGTGTAATTCACATGAAAGTACGAATCAAGCTGTACCAATGGTGCCAAATATGGTACAAATCGGAGGGTTCCACATCAAGACTCCCAAAAAATTGCCACAGGAGTTCCAGGTAAAGATACTTTTTTTCAAAGAATCCTATAAAAACAATTTATAAAATAAAATATTTAAAAACGCTAGAGAATATAACAGAAGCATTAATTTAAAAAAAAAAACGTCATAAAATGAATAAAAAAAAATAGAAAAGATGTCTTCAATATAAAACGTAAAATGACCGTTTTTATAATCCATTATAGAAACATTCTGAACTTCTATCTTAGAACGATGTTTTTGGTGCTTTTTGAAGACTAATGTTTTCAGGATTTCATGGATAGTGCCAAGGAAGGTGTAGTATACTTCAGTTTAGGGTCAAACATAGTACCGTCGATGATGGGAGAGGAAAAGAAGACGGCTATTCTGAAAGCATTTGGGAAACTGAAGCAAAAGGTTCTGTGGAAGTGGAACGAGGACACAATTCACGGTAAACCAGATAACGTGAAACTGGCGAAGTGGTTCCCTCAGCAAGACTTGCTAGGTAGGTGATGTGACATTATGTGTTAGAAAACCACTCTAGAAAACTGAAAAGTAAATTAAACAAGCTGTAGTTTCTATTGGACAGATACCTACGAGTAGTAGTCGCTACAACCCACGTTACCTCAAAAATGAGCTGAACAAATGGCGCTGATGAGAAAAATATTCGGATTTTTTGCATAATCTTATTAAAAAGGGGCCACTTTTAACGAATCTGCATGTTGCCATGCCAAAATTTGCGTCAAAAAATGTTTAAACTAATTTTTTAAACAAATTCAAAAACTGGATTTTTTTCACTCCGGTTGGGTTTTTGAACAAAAAATGTGCTGTGGAACTTTTCTCTAAAGTTAATAGTTTTCTAGATATAAGCGATTTGATATTTGGAAAAGTGCAAAATATGCCATTTTCAACCCTGAAAAACAATATGAAAAAACGAAAATTTCAACGTTGCCAAACTTCATAAATATTCCTTAAACATCTGGTAATAAAACGCTAAATCATTTTAGGAGGTATTATTAATGTAAAACTTCACACTTTTGCAACTACAGTGGACCCCCGATAATCAGGCCCCTGTCTAATCCGGTGCCCCCTGTAATCCGACATGACTTTGAATATGTATGACATACATACGTGTTTGACAATCTTCGCTAATGTAGATCACGCAGGTTTGAACAGGTTGCAACTTATACGCGCCACCGCTATCGTGCTCGACGCGTAAGCATTGTTTCACTTAGTTTGAATTTGACTACTGGTGATAGCGGTACGGCCTAGCGTGCGTTCATTGTTTACTATTTATTCATTGTGTATTAAGTATAGTACCTAGTAATGTCATCACAAACTCAGAAGCGAAAGCACAAAACATTGACAATTAAAGAAAAATGTGATATTTTGGACCGCTTAAATCGCAATGATACTTTCAGTAGTTTAGCAAATGAATACGGCGTAGGCCGATCTACAATTTATGACATTAAAAGAAACCACGAGAAGATCAAGAAGTTCGTGTCAACTACTGACGGCGGGCAATAGGCAGACACTCAAGAAAGCTGAACATCCAGAAGTGGAAGAAGCTTTATACATGTGGTTTGTTCAGGAAAGAAATAGGCATGCACCAATTTCAGGACCCATGTTGGCCATGAAAGCTAAGTTTTTTATACGGAAATAACAAAAAAAGATGATTTTGTGGCCAGCAAAGGATGGCTAGAACGTTTTAAAAGTCGTCATGGTATACGTTTAATGACTATTACAGGAGAGAAACTTTCTAACGATGCCACCTGCATAGAGCCCTTTAAATTAAGATTTTTGCAAAAGGTGAACGATTTAAATCTTGACCCGTCACAGGTGTACAATGCAGACGAATCAGGGCTTTTTTGGCGTGTGATGCCTACCAAAACTTTCGTTTCTTGTAACGAAATATCCGTACCTGGACGAAAAGTAAGTAAAGATCGTGCAACCATACTACCATGTGCTAACGCTGAGGGCACACACGCGCTTAAGATGATGGTCATTGGGAAATCTAATAAACCACGGGCATTCAAAAACGTTGATTTACCTGTACACTATTACGGACAAAAAGTGCATGGATGACAAAAGACCTTTCCAAAAAGTGGTTTGATGAATGCTTCGTACCTGAAGTTAGAAAATGGTTAAAAGATCATAATTTTCCTCAAAAAGCGTTGTTGCTTCTTGATAACGCTCCCGGTCATCCGTCAGAAGAAGAACTAACAACTGAGGATAAATGCATCACTACGATATTTCATCCGCCAAATTGCACTGCACTGATTCAGTTTGTCATGCAAGACTATAAGAAAAACCTACTTCTGAGAGCCGTATCAAAAGACCAACCAATTGAAAAAACTTTAAAAGAATTTAATATGAAAGACTTGGTTTTTGCTCTTTGTCAGTCGTGGAATGCGTTACCGGCATCAACTATTAAATCGTCTTGGAAAAAGTTATGTCCAGATATAGTCACCACTAATAGCAACGTTACACAAATCAGTGTTACTTCGGAAGTTATAGAACAAGTCGCTACTGAAACACAGATAAGTCCGGAAGATTTGGAAATCTGGTGCCGTGGAATGGATAAAAAGGAAAATGTTTTTCATGAAATGTCTGACGAAGAGATTATAAAAGATCTTTCTAATTATACAACAATCAGGAAAATAACGACGTCGTGATTGCAACTGCTCCACAAGTCACAGCGCAAAACGCAATTAATGCCTTTGAGCTAGGTTTACAATGGGCTGAAGAGAATGGTACATCCTACAATGAACTTTTACTTTTGAGAAGACTGAGGGACAAAGCTCTGATATCGCGTTATAACAACCTTAAAAAAAAAAAAATTTGATGAATATTTCCAAGCTTCATAATTTGATAAATTCATTAATGATTTTGATTAATAATTCTTGATTATTTTGGTTCGTATGTATGTGCATATATGCTTAATTTTATAATAAAACGTAAGCTCTCTATTGTTATTTAATTTACTAAATTCGACATACAAAAAACTATGTATGATTTGTACTTCAAAGAACATACATATACATAACATAAATAATCTTACCATTGGATATGTAATTTGTCGGATTACAAGGTACTCTTTTGTAAAAAATTCCGGTCTTAGGCAGTGCTCTATAATCCGACAAATTCGATAGTCCGACACTGCCCTGCATAATGTTTGTCGGATTACCGGAGGTCCTCGTATTGTATCGTTTATTCTAGAAAACTATCAACTTCAGAGAAACATTGTAGAGCTTTTTTTGTTCAAAATATCCTAAGAAACTTGTCACTTTGACCAGAGAAAAAACCCAATTTTTGAAATTTGTTTAAAAAAATGTTTAAAAATCATTTGTCGCAAATTTGGGGCTGAAAACATGCAGATTCGTAATAAGGCATCCTTTTTAAATGAGTTTATGCAAAAAATCACAATCAGAATATTTTCCTATAAGATGCGAATATACTTCCTGGGCAATATTTATGACTTTGTTTCATCGATGCTTGAACAAATTTAGTACTCTTAATCCCCTTATTATTTCAGCGCACCCCAACATGAAACTATTTGTAACCCACGGAGGCCTCCTCAGTACCTTAGAAACTATCTATCACGGAATACCTGTTTTGTCTCTCCCAGTTTTTGCAGACCAAAGGATGAATGCTGCCAGAGCGCAGGAAGCCGGTTATGGATTATTTATGCCTTTTTCGGAAATAACCGAGCAAAGGCTGGATGAAGCACTGAAAAAACTGCTCAATGACCCTAAGTAAGATTTGCACAGAATAGTACATACTAAACTTCAGAACCACCAATTGTTGGTGGAACACGAAATTCGCGACGAAAATGTTTCTATGTATAAAAAAATTCTTCAAGACCTCAGCTGGCCAGGGGTCTGCTTTTAAATGAATTTCAACTGTTGGAATTAATTTCGATATCGCGTTCCCGTCATACTATACATACAGTCATGGACAAAAGTATGGAAAGATTTTTATATCAAACATTATTCCAGCTCGCCTCGTATACAACAATAAATTGTGACGTTCATTTTATATGCCTGCTTAGGTATCACATATTTTCACATGTACTTTTTGTGCTATAGCCATTCCTACCTGTTACATATACTAAGTGACATATAAATCCGAACACCCAGTTTAAATGGTTTTATTTTAATAAAAGTTGGTGAATGTATTTACCTTACTGTAAATAACAAGTGAAAAAATTTTCAGCCTTATCAGTTGGACATTCCGGTTTTTATACTGCTTTTTTTTAATTCACTAACGCTCTAAAAATGAATATTTCAGCCGCAGTAAAGAATCAACGTTGGCAGATTTTGGTTCTTGACATCCTTTACGATCGGTTACGATGCCTAGAGTACAGAGACCTGTACGATTTCGTCAACTTAGTGAGTTTGATAGGGGCCGTATAGTGGGACTTCTTTTCGGGCAACTGCAGTTAGAGTGCAAAGAAGTGTAGACACTGTGGTTAGGTGTTGTCAGGCATGGCTTCGAGAAGGCCGTACTCAAAGAGCAAGGGGCACTGGACGCCGGCGTAGAACAACAGACCGTGAAGATCGCCGCCTAAGATTATTGGCCTTAAGGGACCGTTTCTCCACTACCAGGTCCACTGCAAATGCATGATTTGCAGAACACGGAAGACCTATTGGCATGCGAAGTGTTTACCGACGAATGAGAAGTTTTGACTTGTTTTCATACCGGCCACACTGGGTCCTCCCTTTAACTCGAGAACACCGACGTAATCGCCTTAAGTGGTGCAGACAACGGTCATTCTGGGATCAGGAATGGAACAGTATTGTCTTTAGTGACGAGTCTCGATTTTGTTTAGGCATGCACGATGGTCGTCCAGGGTTAGAAGGCGACATGGTGAAAGGAGGAATCCACAGTTTTTTGTTGAAAGACATGTTCATCACACTGTTGGAGTTATGGTTTGGGGTGCTATAGCTTATGGTTCCAGGTCACCTTTAATCAGAGGTAACATGAACGCGCAGCGTTATATCCACGAAGTTCTAGAACCCCATCTTTTACCCTATCTTGACACCCTGGCAGATCCAACTTTCCAACAAGATAATGCCCGACCACATGTTGCAAGAGTCACAATAGACTTCTTTCAACATAATGATGTCACATTGTTCCCATGGCCACCAAGATCTCCCGACTTATCCCCAATTGAGCACGTGTGGGATATGATGGGTAGGAGATTGCTCAATTTGCAACGTCCTCCTCAGACTCTAGAAGCACTTCGAGAGGAGTTGGTGGTTGCCTGGAATGAGATACCACAGGAGGACATTGACCACCTGATCAGAAGCATGCCTAGGCGCGTTGGAGAATGCGTAGCACATCAGGGTGCATCCACACATTATTAAAGGTCAAAGGGCTTTAAAGTAGTGCAATCATTTTGAAATTTTTATCATTTACTTATTATGCTTCATTAAGTACTTATACAAAATTTTATTAAAATAAAACTATTTAAACTGGGTTTTCGGATTTATATGTCACTTAGAATATTTAACATCACTGGATTAGTTTTGTTGTATCACTGCTATAACCAGCAACCTATTAAGAATGGGCAAGAATAAGAATTTTCTGGAACAGTTACGATTCCAAGTTGTCGAGTTGAAAAGAAATGTACTACAGCAAGAAATTTAGACTTAAGCGACTGTGTCGTTTCAAAAATTCTAAAACAGTTTCGGTTACTAGGACACGTTACTATTCGGCCAAAGTCAGGTCGTCCTAGAAAAACTACAACCCTATGTTGATAAGGGCATCAAAAGAATTTTGATAGCTGATCCGCATCAATCATCCATCCAAATTAATTTTCGTCAATATTTCAACACAGACAAAACGACCCGTACTGTGAGAAGACGTTTATGTGAAATTGGGTTGTTTGGAAGAGTTGCTGTCAAAAAACCGTAATTGTCTAACAAGAATCGAAAGGCCAGACTTCACTTTGCTCAGAGACATTTAAATCGGACACCTAAATACTGGGATACGGTGCTTTGGACTGACGAAAGGAAATTTAAAATATTTGGTGCTGATGAAAGATCGTTTGTAAGAAGACCTGTCAGGAAAAAAATTGATATCAAGTATCAAAAGCCTACAGTAAAGTATCGTGGTGGCAGTGTTGTAATCTGGGGGTGTTTTTATAGCTCTAACGGGTTCGTTACTGAAAATAACTGAGAAAATGGATCGCTTTACGTACCGCGACATATTACAGAATACTATGTTACCTTATGCCGTAGAAGAAATGCCGCTGTTGCGGAGATATCAGCAAGATAACGACATTTATCCCATTTAGTAAAAAATTGGTTATTAGAGAAAAGCGTTGATTTACTGGAATGGCCTTCGCAATCCCCCGACTTCAATACAATTGAGCACCTTTGGTAGCGCTTAGAGCGGAAGATTCGGCAAAGATTTATTCATAGTGAGAATGATCAATGGGAAAGTCTATAAGATGAATGACGGAAGATTCCAGTTGACGTGTCGAAATCTTGTTGATTCCATGCCAAGAAAATGTAGGGAAGTCATTAAGGACAAGGGATTTTCAACAAAATACTGAACATGTTTAATTTGTATATTTAACTTTTTTTCTTAAGAAACATATTTTTTCCATACTTTTGTCAAAGGGTTTTCTTTATTTATCATAAAGAGGCTTGGTTTTATTTTGTGTTTTAATGTATTTCTAAAATGTCACTAAGTTAGTAGTGGATGTTTATTTTTTAGTATGTAATTAATTATCGATTAACAAATATTAAGAGTATCAGAAAACAAATCATTCCAACTTATGGACTGTATAAACTGCAATGACAATTCTGACATCTGATTTATTTTTTTCTTAACTCTTGTGCTTTGGCTATAAACTACACCATCACCTTGTCTGCTTCCAGATATAGAGAAAATGCTGAAAGGAGATCCAGTTATTTCCGTGATAGGCCAATAAAGCCAATGGATTTGGCCACTTACTGGGTGGAATACGTGATTCGTCATAAAGGCGCAGAGCATCTCAGAATTGCAGGCACAAAACTCCCTTGGTATCAGTATTATAGTGTAGACTCTATCGCACTTATATTGTTAGTTTTAATATCCCCTTATTTCTTGCTTAAATTCGTGTTGAGTCTGAGAAAAAAGACCACTAAATCTAAAAAAGAATGAGTAGTTTCAACTTTTATAGATATCACCTAAAGTGGAAATGTGATATAAAAGTCCAGCAGTTTTTGTTTAGCTTGTTGACTTAAATGTGCTAGATATAAGTTCCTTAAGTATCGGAGATATACAGGGTGTCTCATAATGGATTTAAGGTTTTAAAGCAATAAAACGAATATTCAAATCATTGTAGAACAACTTTAATAAACCTGCTGGATAGATTAAACATGCGGATTTATTGTTCAAACAAAACATCATTAACATCATTTAAATGCTGGCAGTCTTCTTTGTAGCAGGCTGCTGTTAACTGTACGTCCCTATTATGCCCAAGGGGCACATGGCACACCATAGAGTCACTTTTTTGGAGTTTAATTGAAAAAGTCGAATTTTGTAGGATGAAACTGTAAGTCCTTCCGCAATATTCGTTGAACAGTAGCGCGCGTCAATTGCAATGCTTGCGCATGTTTACGAGCCGACCGCCTGGGATGGCGATTTACAGCGCGCCGTACCCTATCAATATTGTCTGGCGTCCTTGTGGTTCTAGATATACCAGCTGGTTTTTGATTCTTGACAGAAGCTGTTGCTCGGAATCTTTTCACACAACTGTTGACTAAAGCTGCTGCCGGCGGTGCATCGTCTAATTGTCTGATATTGAAAAGTGCACAAAAACGTCGACGCGCCACGGTATAAGAATCGTTCGACTTAAAGAACGATTCAAGCAAAGACGCTCGTTACTCTGCTGGAAACGGCGCCATGGTAACTGAAATCCGCATGTTCGCGCTGCCTACCTACACCACTACCGCCCTCCTTAATTATGAGACACCCTGTATTATTATCCAGTAAACAACATGATCAAACTTTATCAATCACTAATGAATTTACAAAAATATAATAAGTTTTTACTTATTTACGAGCTGTGTGCGGACTAGAGTACAAACTACCGGAGACACAACTACTACCAAATATTTTAAAATATGTTGAATTACTTATTCATTCTGATGGATGATAGTGCCTTGATTATTTCATGTAGTTGCGGTGTCTTTTATTATAGTTGATTTTACATTTGTGTTTTACTTCTTCAGAAAATTACACATTCTTAAAACTATTCGACTTTTTTTTATTTAAAACCCATAACATTCACTATTCCTAGGGAAACATTACATTACATTGGTAACCGATTGCTGTTCAAAAAATAAAAAAAGAAATGGCACACTCATACACCAATAGCGAGCTAGTCGACATGCTGTTAAGGAATGTCGAGGTGGGCACAGTGGGAGACCTAGACAACCCCGAATGATGCAAACTGAGGAAGAAGTACAAGGTACGGCAGAGAGGATGGACGGTTTTAAAAAAATCATAAAATAGTTAATTTTTACTCGAAAACAAATTTATTGATGGAATCAGGTTCACAAGGAAATATCATTTGAGACAGTCAAGTGAGGAAAATCACATCAGGCATGTGGTGGCCAAAATCGTTGATGCAGAGCTGGAGGCGTACTTGGAAGTTCGCGTAGACTCTCCAACATCGCTCTCTCAACTTGGGCGAATTCCACGCGATTTTCGCCCTTCAATTCGTTCGGGGCTTGTTCACGTATACTCTAGCCTTGAGGTGTCCCCATAAGAAAAAATCGCATATGGATAAATCTGGGGACCGAGGAGGCCAATGTACATCGCCAAACCTGGAAATAAGGCGACCAGGGAAGAGAGGGCGAATAACGTCCATGGATGCTCGGGCTGTGTGGGCGGTCGCCCCATCCTGCTGGAACCAAACACGTCGCAAAATTCGCCTTACCGAACGATCACTAAGGCGAAGTGCAGCAGCATGTTTCCGGGCAGATCGAGTCGGACTGCGAAGAAAGACCTGTCGAACGCGTTCAACATTTTCAGGAGTTCGAACTGTTCGCGGCGCTCCTCTTGGTCTTCTGTTGATCGGTTCACCACGCCTGCGAAGTGATTCAACCCAACGAAGGATGGTGTTTCGAGAGGGAACAGCTCTATTCCGATAAATGTTGAAGTGGCGACGAAACTCACGCTGTACGACGATGACTGACTCATTATTTCGGACGAAACAATCATAGGCGAAAACGCGGTTCTCCACCGTCCAAGGCTCCATAACGACAACTATACTACAACTATTTAAAACTGTAATGACTCATACGCGTGATCAACACGTGATCAGAGCTCGATCCCGGCTTCCTTCCAGTACAGCCGTATAGCGTACGACATATGTCGTTTCTGTGGCTTTGCGGTGGTCAACAGCACAGACAGAGATGGAAATAATGGCTGATTGTTCTCCGCCGGTAGAACCAATGAAATCAAAGACGCGCCTCGACCGGCAGACTCATAGGCGTCGGCAACGCATTGGAACGTGTTTCGTTGAGCGATCGCATATTGTGTGTTTTTATAAGAATTGTTGTGTAATTGTTATTGTTGTGGTTTCTGTGGGTACTGTTTTGGTTATACTTAACCATGGAGAGTACAAATGGCACGGGTGGAAGTACTAAAAGCCAGGGAACAAGTAGACGGCTTCGTAAAGCACTGAAGTGGGACGCGAAAGAAATCTTGCTCATTCAATTATCTGAACAGAACTATGTCGCAGGGAGATGCACTCGCGGGTTGTGAAAGTATGACAGGCGTTCCAGAGTGGACCATTCGCAGGGTGGTGCATGAAAAGAAGGAAACTGGAGCTACTACTGATCCAAAGTTTAATTTGAAGGGACGAAAGGCCGTTAAATTGGATGACGATAGCAAAATGGCGTTAAGGCGAACCGTACATTCATTCTTCTTTAGGAATGAGATACCAACTCTCAAGGCTGTACATGTAGCGATCAAGGAAAATGAAATTATACCCCAAATGAGCGTCGAGCTAATGAGGAAATCCCTGGACGAAATTAATTTTCGTTACGAAACGCGTAATCGGAAATCAGTATTGATAGAAAGACCTGAAATAATCGCCTGGCGTCGAAAATACCTACGCGAAATGATTGAATATAGGCGACAAAGCAGAAAAATCTATTATTTGGACGAGACATGGGTAAATGCAGGTCACACAGTTAAAAAAACCTGGATAGACAAAAACGTAGTGAGTAACCGACAAGCAAGCATTGAAGGTTTGTCAACAGGTCTTCGTGGACCGTCAGGAAAAGGGCAAAGATTGATCGTAACTCATATTGGTAGCGATAGTGGCTTTTTAGAAGCGTGTGACTTGATTTTCGTCTCTAAGAAAGGAGGTGATTACCATGACGAAATGAATGCCAGCTGCTTCGAGAGCTGGTTTCAAGGGGTGCTTCAGCGAGTTGAGCCCAACTCTGTGATCGTCATGGATAATGCTTCCTACCATAGTCGTCGAGCCGAACGTGTACCGACTATGGGATCTCGAAAAAGTGACATGCAGCAATGGTTGCGCGAAAAAGGAATCCCTTTTGACGATTCATGTGTGAAAGCGGAATTGTATGAAAAAATTAAACGGCACAAACCTGCGAACATTAGTTACGTGACTGATGAGATGGCCCGTCAATGTGGTGTCATTGTGCTGCGGTTACCGCCCTACCACTGTGAACTGAACCCAATAGAGCTCATCTGGGCTCAAGTGAAGGGTTATATTGCGCGCCATAACACAACCTTCAAATTACCAGACGTTAAGGTTTTACTTGAGACTTCCATACAGCTAGTAACGCCCGAAGCTTGGCAGAATGCTATCCGTCATGTTGTGAAGGAAGAAACAAAAATGTGTCCCAAAAACGTCAGTCCTCTCTGCCGCACCCTGAACTTAATCTCGTAGACGGGAATCCCTCAACAAACACTAGGGACGTGGCTGGACAAGTGCAAGTGTCGAAGACTAAGGGCCGTATCGTCAGTCGTTCCTTAAATTGTAGGACGCCTTTATGGCCTCATTGATTTTCGTAGTCTCTTCTCTCCTTCTGAAAGACTGGAGTTTTTCTAGATTTCTACTGTTCCCTGTCAGAGCCAACGCTCTCCTATTGGGAAGTTATGTTCTCAGGCTGATAAAACAGATGATATAAATCAAAAGCATGGACAGTTTGATGCAAATAAATAAAATAGAGCGCTGACACCGAATAGTAGAAAACTATGAAAATAAAGGAGGCCATAAAGGCGTTCTACAATTGTAGGAACAACTGACGATACGGCCCTTAAGTGTGGCAAACGCTGCATGATGACGTTGCACGTGAAACGGGTACAAGCCCTCCAAGCTGAGGATTCTCCTGCAAAAGTGTGGTTTTGTGAGTGGTTGTTGCAGCAACATGACAATAATCCGCACTTTTTGAAGTGCATATTAGTGACAGTCGAATCCACGTTCACGCGTAACATGCTGAATAACTTCCGCAATACTCATGTGGTCAGTAGAAAATCCTCACGCTGTCCGTCGGTCACACTTTCAACAGACATTTTCTGTGAATGTTTGGGCTGGGATGGTAAACGATATTGCTCACTGGACCATTTATTCGCCCGAATTGGTTAAACGGGATAAGATACCTAGAATTTTTATAGAACATTTTACAAACCCTGCTAGATGTGCCTTTGAGGGTAAGACAATCAATGAGGTTTCTCCATAACGATGCACCGCCCCATTTTAGACGCAAAGTGCGTGAGTTCTTAAATGAATCATTTCCGAATAGGTGGATCGGACGTAATGGACCCATAGCATGGCCTCCGCGATCTCCAGACTTAACACCGTGTGATTTTTATTTTTATTGCGCTTGGTGAACAAAACTGAGGTGCACGCTGTTGACGAATTACGTCTGATAATTCGGGGAAGGAACTTCACTATAAAAGCATGCACCGATGCTTGGCTACGTCGAGCACGCACATGTGTTTTTGAATCCAGCGGCGACAACTGCGAACAGTACTTATGGGATAAGTTCACCAAGAAAAAGTGACACCGATGTCATATTACATTTTACCAGCCATAACGCATCTTATTAATTGTTGCCTAATAGAAAATACTTTTCCAGACTGTTGGAAAGTTGCAAGAGTTCATCCTTTGCCAAAGGAAGGCACTATATGTAGCTTGTCGGATCTTTGTAAAATTTCTATATTACCGGTGCTGTCTCAAGTTCTGGAAAAAATTATAAAATTTCAGATAATGCTTCAGATAGATGAATATGACTTGCTGCCTTCATTTCAGTCAGGGTTTCGAAAGGGTTTTAGTTGCACGACAGCGCTTATAGATGTTACGGACGAAATTATCAGGTATATTAAAAACGGCTCTTGTAGTGCTTGATTACAAAAAGGCATTTGATACAATTAATCACCAGTTGATGTTTTCTATTTTAAAATACATGGGATGTTCCGTTAATGCTATTAAACTATTCAAAAGTTATTTCTCGAAGAGGACGCAGCTTGTCATAAACTCTTCCGGGGTGTCTGTTTCCAAGCCTGTTCTGTGTGGGGTACCTCAACGCTCTATCTTGGGTCCATTACTTTTTTCAGAATACTCTGCAAATATTACTGGTAGTTTGATATATTCAAAGCGTTATTAATATGCTAATGATATCCAGATAAAATTTTCGTTCTCTCATACAGATACAACAACTGCGGTTACATTATTGAATGAAGATCTTAATAATTTGACAAATGAAAGCATAGCACATCAGTTATCCGTAAATCCAACCAAGTCAAATGTTTTATTGTTCGGGAAACACAAAAAGAGCGTGGCAGATTCATTCCATATTTCAATTAATGTTATTCCTCATACATTCGCTATTAGGATATTTAGGCTTGATTATGGATAGTGAATTGAGGTTTTCAAAGCATGTTGATAAGTGCACTGGCCGTTCGTATGGTCGGCTTAAAATGTTATTTCCACATCCTCATATCATTTCTTCCGAAATTAAGGCTTTGCTTTGTGACACGCTTGTTCTGTCATTATTCAATTACTGCGGCTCAGTTTATGGGCCTTGTATAACATGCTATGATGATGATCGTATACAGCGTCTCCAAAACTTTTGTCTTAGGTTTATTGTGAGTGAAAAAATTTGAACATATTTCTTATAAGTTACCTGTAGGATGGCTAAATATGGAAGCTAGGAGAAATCTACACTCTGCAGTTTTGTTTCATAAAGTTATTCTATATAAAACTCCGCC